TTTTCGTACATACAGTAAGTTCTGCATAATTACTGTTTGGCTGTAACTGTAGCACGATTGGGCAAGGTCACTACGGTTGCCAAGGTAGCGCATTCGGTAACAGATATATACCAAAAGGAATTTCAGTGTTCGAATCCTGGTCATGAGACGTTGATTTGTTTACATTCCCTGCACAGTTTTGATATTTTTATGTTAGTTTATCTTGATTTTTATTTCTTTTCACTAATGTCCCGCAGGGTGCGGTTATTTTTTAAAAAGGCTTCAGTCTTGCCGGAAAAGACTATGCGTAGTTACATTTTTTGGCATTGCTATGGGAATCATTAACGTTGCCTTCATTCCCAACCGATTGAAAAATCTATAATCGCAATAATCGTTTTTTGTCATTGTTAGGATAAGAAATGGACCATGGTATCAAACCAGAACTATTGGAGTATGGAACCTTGATGAACGCTCATAAACTGAGGCTCAATCAGGGCAAAACAGAACTAAGTCGCTTTCCTTTCAAACATAAGAAAATTTGGGCTCTCCAGCGAAAGGTCGGCACCAATTATATTGAGCAAGCCATCTTCTGGCAGAGGTATATTTCAAAAGTTCAATGATTATAGCGAAATAAGTAAATGTTGGGAACATTGGCCGTTTATCATTACGGACGCGTATAAAAAAATAACTCATTTGAACAGAGGAAAGCACGTGATATAAACTGTACTAGGAAGAAAACTAATATCACATGTGCTACATTGCGTTGTTTGTTTCTACTATACGACCACAGCACAACTTACTTAATCATCAGCTCGTGAGTATTAATAGTAGTTTGTTATTCTTTATCAATCTCCAGGATTACGGCGGGAATGTAATCCGTGTAAGGATTCAAAGAAAGTAATGTTCGGTTCCGGAATACACTACATGTTGTAAACAGTTTTGTAAATGTTCAAATGAACAAGCATGCAAATTTTACGATATTATTGTATATAACTTAAATAATACGCTGACGTAATTCCTTAACGATTATATTTATGTACTGTAAATTGTCTTAAGATGAATTTTGGAAATTATGAAAACGCTTTGCAAGCATATTTGACGTCAATAAGAACTGCATCCTTTTTAACACGAAATTCGTTTGCCTCATTCTCATACTAGACCAACATCTTTGATCAGAATCAAAGAAACAGTGATCTTTTGTAAAACACTCGTTCGACATATTCACCCATTCGTCCTATGGGTGAGGTCTTGTCCAGTCACAAGAGCATACGTCTTTATGTACGGAACGCTGTATACCCCTCGAGCACGAGGGGGAAATAAACACGTTTGTCTTTCATCATTTTAGTTCTTAAGATAAACAATACATATATCTGAGGTCAGGAGGAATTCCTGATCTGATCAAACATAGCCTTGGACATAACGAAATTAATGAAACCTCGAGTTTTCACAACATTGATTCCTTACAAATATTTACGGTCAGAGATACATATAAAGGTCCTTTATAATCTTGTTAGGTTCGTTCATCAATATCACTGGAATGCCCGTTATGTTTAGGCTTATCTGTCCACTATATATCTGCCTGGATGGTATGCTTAGCAGATTGTGTTCAAATGAAAAACGAAATGCAATTTGTATGTATCTCTATTATAGGTGGAATTATATCATTGTTTCATACTTTTATACTGTAAATAGCTTGTATTTCATGAAATCGGTTTTTCATAAAGGAGTATAAAATAAGTTTGCGATTTTCAAATTTAGAATATGTGAGTTGAATTCAAAATTTCCTCATCGCCAAAACAACAGATCCGCAAAAATAACCGTTCATAGCCTCCTTCCAAAAACCTTTTCTCACCAAACCATTCCATGAAAAATGCTGTACAGTAAATCAGTATTAAATTCAAATTTGAAAAAAAAATCCAAGCAATTTGACTTACAACAACATCAAAACATCACAATGCCATATCGCACAGCATCCAATACATGACTAATACAAATTGATATGTCTATAGCTGCTGTAAAACTTTGGAAAGCAATTGATTGTTATAAAACCCCGACACGGCACTGCTGCCAATTATTGTAGCACGTCACACCGTTTTCTTTTGTGAACGTTGTTACTGTTTTGTTTATAGATAAATAAAGTTTGAGTTCGGCAGACAATTACAACAGGAGGCCAGTTTGTTTGAGGCTGTTGTCGATATCGTTTCTTTTTTGCTTACAATGAAGTAGAGCATTGCAGTCAATTTCGCTAAGACGTTCGTTTGTTTCTATTTTTAAAGTTGTATCATGTAATAATTGGTTCGGTAGGAATACTGTAGCTGAATTCTGTGCATTTCTATTCAATTTCAGGGAAAGGGTATCAACAAGTCAAAATAATATACTACCAATATACCACTATTGTAAAATATTTGATGACATCCTTTTCTAAGGCGATATTTAAAAACAAATACATGCTTCCATGCATTGTAAAGAATTGCTGTCGTTTGAAATTAGAAAAAAACAACTGCAGGGATGAAACTCAGGACCTTCACATTACAGGCTTTTCCTTTTTATAGAAAGGAGAAGACTCCACGCAAACAAATGTGCGTTGAACTCTTCATTGCAATTGTAACTGATGCAGTGACATTATTTACCTAAACATCTAACAATATGCATTGGTAAGTTGTACTTTGGATCCTCCAGAGAAAAATTGTGAACGTGCAGTGTATTACCCAATACTTACGAGGTTAATATTGAATTTTTTAAAACGGTTAAACCATTTGACTTGTTAGTACTTATAACCAAGGACCGTATAAGAAAGAGAACACAGCGGAACAATAATCCAGAGTATCAGGGTTAGACACCCTTTAAAGTACATTTTAACAAGAGAAAAATAACCTTTATAGCAATTGTCGTTGGATACCTGAATATTTGCAGGAAAACAGAATATTTTAGAAAGATTGCAATTAGACGCAAACGATATTATTCTAACTGACATGTAGCTTTGAACAGTTGAGAATCGAAACTGATCTAGCCTTATTTTCAGTTGACCTGACATCGGATATTTGAAACTTAATTGAACAGATCATTTTCCTAAAAAAGACAACCGTTAATTTCTTTAGTCAATATGCAAGTATTGCTTTTTGAAAACAGAGGCTCCAAACAAACTGCTCTTTGTTTTCCTACAGATACTATCAATGGCAAATACGCCCGATGAGCCTGTGTTACGGCTATTTAAAACTGTTGGCAAACGAATTGCAAATTTGCGACCATCAAAGTCTTCAAAGTAAAGCAAGCTTAAAAGCAGATCAATTAACGATACAGGCTACTCTTATCCCGGATCCAATCATGGTATCATAGCTAGTGTTTATCTCTTCTGTGACATGTCAAGCTATTGTATATATATGAATGAATACGGAGAAGTGATCTCGACCGTTTCCATTTTACTACCAGGGCCCGTATTCGTGAAACCGTTCTCATGTTTCTTCTCAGTTTTAATTCTGTGCTCAACCCAGCTTTCTTGTAACTCACTTAAATCATGTCAAATAATCAAAAAGTCGATTGTAAACATTGAAAACGGTACACGGCTCTATGTCTCTCCGAACCAATAGTCCAGACATAATAGCAATCGTCAACCACCAATTGCAACCGGGCGGGTAAAAGGTGGGGATCTAAACCGTTTACCTAAGTAAGCAGTGTCGTATGTGTCCTGTCTTTGATAGTTAAAACAGTACCGATCATTTGATAACATGTCCACAATAGAAGCCTTGAATCAGTCAACGGTTATATTAGAAGTAATTATCACAACAACGTAGCTCGAAAACGGTAATATTACCCTTCACATGAAAACATTCTCCCAACTGGCGGTAAAAATGAAAAACAATAACAAGACAAAAAGGGGAGGTATAACGTTCGCAAAGGGAGGATATCCATTTTGGTAATTTTAAGGGACCATCGTAAAATGTAATCGCGTAACTTGTCTAGCAATCCTATATTGGTGTAAAACGTTCAAGATCTTTGATATTTTATAAAGATATCAATACAAAGTTACGGGAAAATATTGTGAGAATAACAACACCATTCCATGTGTTAATATCCATATGAAAAAGCCAATGACAATAGAATTGTTTAAAAAAAAATAATTAGTAGTTTAAAGATTCATTGCATTCCTCCGCGCAAAACTTGTATTTGTTTACATTTGTTACAGACGATCGTTGACGTCATTTGGAAATCATGGTGTTTAGTAGATTATTTTTTTAAATGGAGACATATATAAGGTAATAGTATATAGATGATAAATAGTTTATCACACAGTACTTTCAGGGTTTGTCGAACAATATTCTCATCGCACGTAGATAAAATCTCTAGTCCACGTCGGTGGCCTCTCGATTTTATCCAAGTGCTTGCGATGAGATACAGTGTGATTATCTATAAATATTCCAAACATTCAAAGATTAAGTAATCAGCGAATGATTCAGCTATTCATATATACAACGCAGACTTTTCTTTTAAAAGAAATTTTGGCTTATTTTCTCTCGAACTCTTTTTAATCTTTCATAAGTAAAATAAACAAAAACAAAATTATGGGTCACTCGATGTTAACAAACAAATTAAAGAAATCATTCGAGACAAAATGAAATCCAGAAGCCCAATAGTTACAGATAATTAAAAGTGTACTTTCATTTTGCGAATACTTACAAGCTCGCTTAACCGCTTTTAGTATCATTCCATTTTGATTTCTGAGGTACCGAGATTGCTTATAAATTTCTACATATTGGAAGAAACGAGTACCTAAAAGTGTTATATCTACATGTATATGATTCATTTGTAATCTCATTAATGAAGAACTTTATGCTTTAATGCTGGGAAAACTATCCTCGTGTCTCCACATACACATGTTAATGTTCCAGGGTTATTGACTGGAAAATGACCGAAGTTGTGATTACCTACTAAAACACTACGTCATCTTGACAGAATCATTAATGCCTCTGATAGAAATGTTATAATTCCGGTACAATTAATTACCACAGCAATGGATACAGTAACGCTACTCATTTTGCTCGCACTAAGATATCTGTACACTGGAGACGGGGTGATCAAATTACTCTGATCAGTGGCATTTTGGAAGGGAGTCTTGCAAGAAAAATGCGTGGGATATTATACTGGTTAGCCAATGAGTGGTCTTTATACTGTCACGTGATTTTAGATTATTTCTGTAAGGTGTGTCTGAATTTGTGAATAAAATGCTTGACATTCTCTCCGCTGCAAACAAATGGACTTTCCTGTTGAGGAAGGACAACTAATTTAGGACTGAACACCAAGAATAAGGAGCCCGGTAAGTACATATTGTAACTTTTCAGTTTGTGTTCAATTCTTTATCAGTTATACAGTAAGGTTTTAAGTAAAATATAAATATCATGTGTATTTGTACAATATGTTTAAAACAATTCTTTTGGAGGATTTTGTTTGATATAATAAAGGAGGCAATATTCGTTACATACTTCCCAGTTTCCTTGATTACAAAGTTTTAATAATTGTGACAGTGGATTTTAACATAATAGTTTTTTGTTGGATGCAAAAAGCAATCTTATGAACACTGGTGCTGCTGTATTTCGCAAGGTACTAATGTATTCAAAAACGTTCGTTTCACAAAAACCATCACAATGAGTAGACCAAGATATTCAATAACTTTACAATTCGCTTGCCTGGTTTCTTTTTCTACATTATCATGCGATTGGGGAAGAACTCATTTGATATTGCATAGAATTTAAAAAGCCATCCCCAATTTCAGTTTAAGAGTTATTGCAAGAAGAAAATGAGACACACATTCAAATCACATTTGAAGTTTGTCTTTTACAACTCTAAACATGAACTGCCTAATTTGTCAGTTTTAATGATTTGCACATGAACATTTTCATTAAATGGGTTTTAAAAAAATATTTATGATTTATTTCCTACAGACTACTGTTAAGGTATGAGTATAAAAATGAAATATATCAATTAGAAAACGTCAAAAAGCGATCTACAGGAAAAGTCGAAAGGGCAATTGATATCTGTATGGATTTGTTCGATTAATCTAACTATTTAACAGACAATAAAAAAAGTTAATTGGCTTATCTAACAGTGAAAAAGAAAATAATCAGTAAAGTAGACAGTTTCTGTAAGGTATTCTTAAACATACTTCATCTATGGACTTCCAAATGAGAATGCGAAGTAAGCTTAGCAACAGTTCAGTTTATTAAGACGACTATATATAAGCATACTCAACAAAATGAAATCACTCTGACGTAGTGTGTTTGTTGGTGAGAACTCCTATCACAAAAATAAAACTTCTTCTTATAAATTTGTCACTACTTCACAGTCAACGAACGCTTTACAGTGTTTTAAACTAGTTTAGAATTTGACATCAGCTAGCGTTGTTCCATGGAAAACCACGTGAAGGAAAACCAGAACAGCGAGAGATTTTCAAAATTATATACGGTCTTACGAGTTACTTCAGTGATAAATAAATATCGGATTGTCCGCGTAGGTGCCAAGATCGGGAGAATGCCAATATAAGATAATAGATAAAGAAATCGTTCCATTATAAAAACATAATTGCCACAGCGTATAAACAAAAAACATATCGGTGCATCATTTATTCCATTTACCATGCTGTGTTTTGTCTCCTATTGAAAATACGCTTTCTATTTTCTTCATCCTGAAAGAGTTCTTCAAATACATGTAGTGCATTGGCTTCCCTATCAAAGGGTGATTTGACAGAAGACAAATAACGCAACCTAAGTATGGAAATGGTCTTTGTTTTATAATAGAACAGCTGATAGAGAACAATGTTATTAAATTTGTTTTTATGAAAGGACATTTACTTATCATCTTCCTTTTTTCGTATATTGTATATTGTATATTGTGACTATTAAATACTAATAGTCAAATAGAGAAGAACTGAAATGAACTTATAACCGAGTCTAACTCTAAACCAAAGATGACAATATGCACTCATAATATAATAGAACATGTACTTTGGCCAATAAAGTTTACACTGAAACTATATGTTGTGAACGTTATCTAATTTAAAATCAGACTTTTGGTTTAAAAAATCACAACGTACACTGTACTTGGAATTAAGCCGTTATCGAATTGATAATAATTCTCCCACAACTTTAATTAAGCGCAATGTGAATTACTTTGTGCGTGCCCGTATATTGCAACAGTTAACGGTTTTCTCGCCTCATGAAATGTCAAGTAATGATCATTTAGTTAAGCCCGAAACGGGATCGGGGATAAATTTGTATGAGCATTTCAGAAGTGATTTTAACAGGTTTCGCCGTTTCTAATTACCCGCTTTGCCTTTTTTCTTTTTTCATTGGCCTCAAGTTTGTTTAAGGAGATATGAAACATCTTCGGTCCACAAGTAAAAATACATAATTTTCAACACTGTCTATAAGTCTAGAAGAAATCATAAAAAACGTGTTTTTCATGTTATTTTAAAAAGACGTTATAAAGGCGGTGTTTTTTCTTTTTCTTTTTCAAAATTAATCAAAAGATATCATTGAATAAAATAACTATTGAATTATTCAGTGTATTCAATAAAAGTACAATTCATTACGTTTTGGAAATATCATGGAAAGTTCTTTATATTTCTACACGATGTTTCAATTAAAATACAATCGCGAAAATAACAAATTCTCTAATATAAGATTAATTACAGCAATGTATTATTTTATCTCATCACTTAATTTGTTCAATCTACAAAATATCAGCTTTGTGGATTAAGCTACATCACGTTAAAATGTTAAAGGTAATAAGCAGTGACTGCCAAACCCTTAAGTGGAATTGTGTCTTGATGAAAAAATACCCTAACGTATAATTTTAATTCATAAATTCCTATAGCAATTACAGCTTAAACATTGAGATCGTGTATACAATCGAAATAAATTCTATGTAAATGGTTGACTCTTTGTACTATAAGAAAACCATACCTGGCCGTGGTAGAGCTGGGGAAACACCAGAAATAACAACTGTAAGCATTCCTATGCTACATGGATATCCTGCTCTCCCACTTTATTGATCTTGCATACTAACAAACATAATGAGTATGAGTTTACAAAGACATAAGTTAATAACAGAATGTGTAATCCAGTGTGCGGACCACGAGCTTACAGTCGAAACCTAATAAGCGGTAATGAAAAAACTAGATGTATTTATTGAAATGACGAGCTCATGTTTCGTCTAAAAAGTGAAACAAAGTCACCTGTTGATCATTTAACAAGATTAAATACATACAGGTCAAACAAAACTTGGGGGATTGCATTTCATGATTTTCATTTCAAAATAGCATTACAACGATAGTTTTACACACGCACCTTACTATACACTTTCCATTTACAGAATAGAGTTTGTGTCATATGCTATATATAGTAAGGCCACCTTTTCCATCTCCACGCTCCTAACAATTCCACTACAACCTACAGAAGATAGATCGAAGCTATTAGCAGCATTAATGAAGTATAATGACTACTGTCAAACGTTCCAGAAGATAAATTACGTTTACATACATCGATTGTAATTACCCGAAGATTAGACCTGCTCATCTGTCTCTTTTTTAAATACTTTCATGTCAAGCAAAAAGGTATTCTGTCTAATCTGTTTCTTGTTAAGAAAACAAATGCTACAGATACGCAATAAAAAGCTGATGAATTATCTCTCGATTCGAATATTCTTATTGTGAAGTATAAAACAGTTTTCCTTGTTCTTCTCTTGGCTTATTTGTTAGCTATATATGTGTTTCTTTAAAAAGCATTGGGTTCTATAAAAAGAGGTTTTTCCTAAACAAGTTTTTATTCATTTTCCTATTCCATAATATTCAAAATAATACTTCCAAAAAAGGATGCACGCACTAAATAGAAATCTGTCAAGGGAGAGTTGGCATGAAACCTTTCCGATTTACAGACCAAATGTAAGTATTTGAGTGAACATTGCCAATTACATCAAATCATTTCTGGTTTTCCGTTTAAATCTTATTCATATAAAACCACTAAACATCCTTTTATAATCCCACTCTTTATCCACGTTTTGGTAGTTCCGATGCTGTTCTTGCATATGTCCCAAACCCGAAAAACTACCTATGTAAGTGACTTTGCAATTCTCTTTGCTATTCATGACAACATTTTAGTCTTCGATAATTACAACACACATATCTAATTTTCAAAATACTATTCAAATTTTTTCCAGACAAAATGAACTCTCAGAACCTCCTACAATGTGTCATCATGTTTCTGTCCGCATTGACGATATCGCTGGCACTTAAAGAGGCCATGGCAACGAACGATGATGTCGACGCTCCACTTTCAGCAGACAATATTGGTTACATTATTGGTAAACTACAACGGCGCAGTGGACTTTCCCTTTTAGCGCCTCCTAGTGTATATGGTTCAAAGTTTGCCCCATACTTACAAAAAACTCCCGACAAACGCGCAAGATATCTCATTTGGATGCCTGCCCAAGGTTATGTGTCTGTACCACAGGAAGATATCAGTAATGGAGGAGGAGGTTCGCCGTCTTCTTCAAAAGTGTTCAGATATGGCTAAAGTTTGGTTACCATGACGCCCAAAACAGCTCTCTTGGTATGACACAAGTAGCAACGATGTGGTGCATTACCATTTATAACAGTAAAAAGCATTTATGTGTATGGCAACAACGGAGAAGGAGCAAATGATTACAAACTTATTTGACCGAAACATTTCTGTAATGCTGAAATCAAATAAAATGTCATATTTCAGGGGAAACTTGGAAATTGTGGAAGTACTTGTTATACATGTTAATACAATATCTAATTTCGTTTGTTATTTGTTTTTCCTTGAATAACGACACTTCATATATAACCAGTATATATGTATATATGAGGGCCATTTATATTTTATCAACATATGGTACATCTTCAAGATACCATTGATTACTTAGTGTTGACCTTTGACCTTATCTGTCATGAAAGTCATGATGCATCACATCAATCATCTATACAACTCAAATGTTTCCCCGATCAGCAACAGTTACATGTAAGCAACGACGCTTTAAGATTTAACAAGAGATCCACCATTATGTTAAGCTATATTTATAACCTCCACAACTACATGTATGTAATATATAACAAGAGATCCCAGAGGGATCTTGTTGCACACCATTGTACCATCTTCATTAGTTTTTTGTCAATTCAATCTTTTCTCTTCTTTTCTCTTATCTGTTTGATCGAGTCATGTTAACAGTAAATGCCCCTTGAGGTAACTTTTGATCTAAACTTGATACTGCTGTGTATAAAAGACAACCTTCAAAGTGAGTTTGTCATTTCACATATTTACTAGTACCGTACTTAATGTGAAAGAAATAGAACTGATCATTGCAATATGAAAAAGATCTGTTTAGTTCTTCCTTTAGCCATTTTATTTTTATGATCAGTCTCAAAATATAACATGCACAACGAGGGATCAAGGGGAACCTGCATATCAAATTTGATAAAGATCCCTCAAGTTATTCCTGAGAAGTAGTACTAACAAACGTTCAATGTCAAAAATTGAAGCCTGTCTGCCATTTTGTTTATCTGATCAGTCTCAAATGTCAGTATACACAACTAAGGACCTAGGAGAACCTACATATAAGATTTGAGAAAGATCTCTCCACTACTTAATGAGAAACAGCGATAACAAACATTCACTTTCAAAATCCAAGTTGACTGCCTGTCAGCCATTTTGTTTATATGATCATTCTCAAAATTAAACATGCACAACTACAGATCTAGGGGAGCCTACATAACAAACTTGGGAAAGATTCCTCCAGTTCTTCCTGAAAAATAGTGATAACAAACCTTTAATGTCACAATCAAAGATGGTGGCCTATCGGCCATTTGGTTTATCTGATCATTCTCAAAATTAAACATGCACAACTACAGACCTAGGGGTGCCTACATAACAAATTTGGGAAAGATCCCTCCAGTTCTTCCTGAGAAATAGTGATAACAAACCTATAATGTCACAATCCAAGACGGTGGCCTTTCGGCCATTTTGTTTATCTGATCATTCTCAAAATTAAACATGCATAACTACAGACCAAGGGAAGCCCACATAACAAACTTGGGAAAGATCCCTCCAGTTATACCTGAAACAATATAGATGATGGTGGAATAAAGACAAAATAACCAAAAAGTTTGCAAGTACATGAATCGTGTTTAGGACAGCGAACCTGATAATAAAACTACCCCATCTTAGATTAATTTTTCCTATATTAGGTTCCATCCCACATCTACGATACAATTTTTTCTATGAAATTAGTACTTTATGAATATACTTCTAAGTTTTTATTTGCATTCCCTTTAATTGGTCACATTCTTCATAAATTTAGCACTAAATCCTCAAAACCCAAGCATTTCCTGTACTTCAATTTGGTAAAAATCTGATAACCCACACTATAAAGAGTAGTCTCTAAAAGAATTTCCTCCTATCATAACAGACCCGGTATCTCTGCCACACAACACACTAGGTGAAAACCCCATTCCTATCCTTGTACTGTATTTCTTTCTGTTAACCAAGAGAGAAGTATTTTAGTTTGACCTTCATACTGTTATTGGACCTCACTCCTCTTTCCCTGTTCAACCACTCTTTTAATAAGTTAGTTTATACCAGATCAAATCCCCTGGGAAACTAGGTTCATGTACCCTTTCCATACTATAAAAGTAGGCTTTAACGGCCTCACATTTATACCCTTCAATCTTCAATTTTGTGAAAGTCTATAAGGGGAGGGGCCACTTGTGTATATTTTGATATGGCATCACCCTGAAATGTAACAATTTTGACAGCAGAGTATAGCACCTCATCCACTCACATTATTCTCACAACAGGTTAGCCACAAGTGTCTGAGTAAACAAAATACATACGAAGGAGAAAAATAGACATATATAAAGTGGCGCAATGCATATGAGTGATTTATATTATCACTTATAAGCCTTAACTCTTTTGTGTCAAGTTCAATGTCCACATGTCCTCGGAATTTCCAGGATATTCTCACTACTAATGTTCTGTGTGCCCCTGGAATATGTCTAAGCAAAATTGATGGAGCTCACGCACCACCATGTGGATGACACAATAATACAAGTTTGATCCTTTGATGTACAACAAAAGAATATACCTGCAGAGTAACGATAAATTGATCACCTTTTAAATATTTCGTCACTCCACCCTAGCAATTTGTCAGTTTTGGTTAGCTTAAACCAATAAAATAGCTAACATTGTGCCTTCGATTTTGTAAAAACATTTATATATATTTACATTTCTACTGAACTTGGACTCAATATACCTACTTAATATTTTAAAGGTTATTTTTCAATGAACTTTTCAGTTGGCGTATGAATACATCAGCATATTATCAACCTGATTACTCTGTTTTTCCGCGGAGCGCAGGAAGTAGTTCCAATCATATATTGTTTTCAAATTGTTTTTTTTGTCAGTAGTATTCATCTGAATTCAAAAAATAATTTACATCTTAATTTGTTTATTCATCTTACCAGGATGACGTCTCACAGTGAGTGATGACGTCATAAGTTTTGATACCTTCCATGGTGTTAGACTTGCACAAGACCGATATTTTAGAAATTATCCGAACAAATATCAATTTTGCTCTGAATGTAAATATAAGGATAGAATCCCATTTTGTTGAGGTTTATGGGGTATAAACCTCAATGGGTATTGAGACAAATTCAAAATGAACTGCTTTGCAGTTCATAAAATTTGTCTCAAGACCCATTGAGGTTTATACCCCATAAACCTCAACAAAACAGAATTCAATCCTTAAACATTCTAGGGGTGCTGAGAACACAAGTGAGTGTTATCTCTGGCATTTAAAGGATGACATATATATTTGTTTACTGCTAATGTAAAACTGCATTTATGGTGTTTTAACGACCAGCCATCTTCATTGCCTGTGTTAACCCTTTCACCCCTATGTAACTTTAGTAGACTCTACCATGCATTGATCTGGATGAGTCCTATGGTCTTCAGTGTTGAAAGGGTTAACGTCAGCCATTCATCTTTTCATTTTTAACAAATTGTGAAATCCATATTTGCAGAAAATTAGGGCTAGGTCATGATATACGTACACAACAATGGTGAAGCCACCGTTTGATGACTTTTATAAACTGAAGTTGTTAACAGCATTAAGTGTAAATTCCGACTCAACCATGACAATGATTTAGTTTGGCATTGTATTAAGGTCGTTGTGTAGCGATCATAGCAGAATTCAATGTTTTCAACAGGGACTTGTTACTTCCATTAATTAAATGCAGAAGATTTCTTGGCAAAGGAAAGTAGTTTTGAACATTTTTTTTGTAAAGTTAAAAACAAAACAACATATAAATAAACTATTTTGAGACTACGTATATCATGTAACATTTTTGTTTTTTGTTCATCAAATTTTATTACTCATGTACGTAATAACTCAAATATGAATTATATTCTATACAACATTGATTCTTTACACTTTTACATTGAGTTAAATATGAGTTACATGACCTTTCAAAGATAAAATACAAAGCACAATTAATACAGAAAAAAACGTTTGAGGGACCTTAGTGCCAACCATTGTTTAGCCTTCATTCCTCCTAAGTGAGTGTGAACTTTTCTTTTCTCTGACAAGCTAAACTAAATAATGTCAACCTTCCATGCATAGTATGGTACCTCTTGAGAAGGACATCATACAGCTCTGCTAAAGAGAAAAGGTGATAAAAAATTTAACTACCAAATCAAAGTTGGCAGTCAAGGGACTTTTTTTCTATCAATCAGTTTGTGTCCAAACAAATTTGAACTGCAATGTCCGAACAAATTTGAACTGCAAACAGGTCTGCAGTCATGATGTTTACCTCATGTCTCAAAATTAAACATTTACCACTAAGGACCAGGGGTAATAGCATTAACAAGAATTGTTGGAGGAGGGACAGCAGAGGGTCCCAATGGGGATCACAGGCTACAGATGAAAAGGGATTTGGGCAGATGGTGGGCTAAAAGAAAAGTGAAAAAAACAACACTTGAAATCAAAATTGTATACAAGATATTACTCACAGGTTTAACCTTGGATCTGTATGCTTTGCCTTGTTGGAGATTTTCCCATTCTTCTATTTTTGTTTTCCTTTTTTCTTCTTCTTTCTGTAAAGCACAACAAGACAGTTCAATTATTATTATGTTTTCAAGCCTTATGAGTGATAGAAATTTTGGTGAATATTGATACCGGTAATATGTATTCATCAGCAAGATCTCATATCTTAAAAATATGTCAAATAACATACTATATTAGGTCAGTGTATAGCTCACCAGATTTTTAAGTCATAATCATTTTCTTTTATTGAGGAAGAAGCCGAGAGTATGTCTCTGACAGCAGGACAAAACCCTCGTCTAATCTAGGTAGCATGCCTGTCTCTTGTAGGAATGGCAACTGTTACCACATAATAAATCAAAAGCAAGACCAGACTCCCTGTGCAAGTGCCGGTACTGGGAATAAATCTGTCTTCTCATGCCTATTTCAGTTGTATACATGGAGAAACATTGGGGATTTCCACCATTTCCATATTTTGACCCAGAGACTACAATTGTAACTTCCTAAAGGTGGGCAAAACCCTAGGGTTAGTACTGGTAGTAGAAATTATCTACATTCTGGACCCCACTTGGGCCTCAAACATGACACCAACTGCATGTATTTATGTGATCATGACCAGCTTGCCCAAGTGAAGTTTTAATCCAAATAAATATGGTAACAAGAGGCCCAATGGGCCTGCATCGCTTGCCTGGTATTAATCTCCCACTTGTAACCTTAAAAGTGATCTAAAATAAAGCTACATGCAAAATATCAGTATTTATGACTTTAAGTCATTCAAAAGAACCTGTTAAAAGATTTGAAATCATTTCACCCCAGTGACCTAGAAAATCGAACAAGGTCATTACGCTGAACAAACTGTATAGCCCTTCATCTCAGCATGCAACTTGCCAAATACCACCAACCCAGACCTTTTGTTTATTGAGATTAGGTTAATTTAAAGATTTATACATACTTGACCAAATGTGACCTTGAAAGTGGATCAAAGTAATTCAAACAAAAAAGCTTGATAGCCCTTAATCCAAGCATGCTTCTGGCCAAATATCAACAATCTGGGCCTCATGGTTTTTCAGAATAAGTCGTTTAGAGATATTAAACAAATTTGACCCATATAAGTCAAGGTCATTCATTTGAACAAACCTGGAAGCCCTTTATCCTAGCATGCTGCTGGCCAGATATCAACATTCTATGTCTTCTGGTTATTCGGAAGTCATTTAAAAATTATGAATATTTTTTATTCCTGTGACCTTGAATATAGGTCAAGGTCATTAATTTTAACAAACTTGGTAGCCCTTTATCCTGACATGTTATGGACTAAATATCATCATCCTATACCTTTTGGCCATATGTGACCTTGAATATATGTCAAAGTCATTCATTTTAACAAACTCAGTAGCACTTCATCCTAGCATGCGACAGGCTAGATTTCAACAAAATAAGTACATTAATATTTACACTATATTTGCAACCCAATTTTTTTATCCGTCATAAAATTGACAAGTCTTCACTATTGTGAACTCCATCTCTCCACTCCAAACTTATCTCCAACTATAAACTGTAAAACTACACAGATCTACAAACTACAGCTAAAACTACTATTATTACTCACTTCCTAATTCTCACTTTAACTCTAACTTTCTAACTCTCCTCTATATCTCTAGACCTCACAACTCGGTCTCCCTAACTGAACCTCCTTCCTCAAGACTCCTTAACTCAAGCCGAGGGATATAGGCATGGTCAAGGGACACCAGAAACTTGCTATATCCCTTAACCCCATTCTTTAACCATTTTATAATACTGATACACACTGCAGAGATGGTTTTAACTAGAAAATATTTGTAAACCATAAGCTATATAGCTTCACATCCCAACTACCCCTTTGATGGCAATGGAGCCAAATGCTTCTGAGTTCGGTAGCAAGCTCTGCCCACCTCGTGCGTCGCTTCCGAGTTCGGTAGCAAGCTCCACCCACCTCTCGCCTGATTGGCTCGGCGGAAACACCTGAGTGTTGGTGTGTTTTAGTTCCCAGACTAACACACAGGACTTAAACACAGTCAGGCAAAAGTGGGGATATAGTCTATTTAACCAATTACTTTTATATAGAGTAAATAAAGTAGAGGTATAATAATATCATCTAACACTGACATCACAGACTGGACTAACCCCTCCTAGACTACAGATGGTTTCACTCAACCACAATTATCTACGGTTACTTATATTAGCTACTATCTTCAAATAAAACTCTGACACTGACCACCAGCTAAGGCTAATCAAATTCATAGGAAATTATATGCAAACTTGAAACAATTAAACGGCTAATAAATGCATAACTGTGACTGTGAAAAAACAATAAAATGTATTAGGGTTGGCATAAAAAAATAGGGTCGGTCGGGAAAGGGGAAACACAGGTATATTTTCATTTGGCCTTACTGTCAGATCTAACAGAGAGGGGAAACAACTCTTGCTTACAATTACTTGCTGTTCCATGAAACGGGATGCTTTTGTGTCATGTTCCTCTTGAAGTCTCTGTCTCGCTCTTTCCATGGCTTCTAGTCGGCTCTGGGCAACATCTGGATCTATTTTTAATTCAAAAAAAGAAAATTGTTAACCTGGGGACACAATGAGTTTACTAGGCTGTTAACAGGGATAGGTCTGGGCCTTTCCTTCCTTGCCATTGAATAAACCTAGAAAACCAATTTCAATTCATTGGATATGTTTTGAATTGTGGAATTATTATTCTGATATTCATGTTGATGTTGTGAAACAGTTTTCAGAAGATGATTATGGGTATCATGACTGTCTAACAAAAGTAGGATAAGTTTCTTGACACGAGAAAGAAAATATAAACATCTTAAACGTGTGGTCTATTATAAAAAAATATTGAGCTTGTTTGACACAATTAATGCTTGCATAAACTACAGGATTTTCAGTTTCTAATATTGACATTAAGCAATTACAAAAGTCAAATGACAATTTCACTGAAACTTGTAGAGTTAAAGGATGTCCTTCCAAACCCTTGAGACAAAGGTAATTAGGGGAAGTCAAAAACATTCTATCAGAACAGTTAATACATAATGTAGGTCAGGCAGTTAATTTCATTCTAGCCCCAGTTTTCTCTTGCCCTGACGCAAGACTTAGACATTTTGACAAATATATGGTTCTGTTTAAATGTGTAAGTCTGGTCTCAGGGCCAGAGGAAACTTGGGCTAATTTGGTTATTGAAAGTGAATAAGTTCAGATATCAAATTACATTTTCTTTAAAATTCAAAGTGTCAAGTAGACATTTATATGTGTATCCTATCAAACTCAAGTATTAACTCTCTTTTGGGGATAAAAAGCATGCATTATATCAAGCGCTGTGGGTGTTCTGATGTTACAAAAAAATATAACAGAAATATGGTATAACTAGTAGGATTTCATTTACAGCAATTACATATATTACAAGAAATCCACAGGAATGGATGTATGTCGCCTGCTCTGCACTTTTAGTAAGAAAAGTGATTTGGCTTGAGTTATCATGTAAACAAGAAACAATGAACAGCAAAAACAATGAACAGCATTGCTATGTCAAGTGTGATATGCCAAAACCCTGAAAGTTGAAACTCAACAAAAAAACCTGTTATATATGGTGAACATTATTGCTTCTTGCAATTTATCATACAAAATTTGAAATGGATACAAAAAAAAAAAAA